TCTGCTTACTTAAAGGACCATTCACAAAAGAGATATGTTTCTGTATGGAGAAGATGGATAGAATATATTCAGAAGAAGTATGGAACAACAAAGTTTCATTTATTTTATGAATAATGGATTTTTATTAAATTATGAATTCAAGTTTGCAGAGAGTTAAGGGTTATTATGATTTTGGTTATTGTATAAGTAGTAAATTTAAGTTGATTATGTTTAGTTTGTGTGTGTGTGTGTGTAAGCCTGTACTGAGCTCTGGGAAGCCAGGGGGAGAAGGGGGTGGGGGGAGGGAGGGAGGGAGGGGAGAGTATGGGTAGTATGTTCAATAGTTCAGATAAGTAGGAATAGTTTTATATTTTTAAGATTTTTTTTCTTTTTTTTGGTGATAGAGGATTGCTCGGGCATTTTCCCCTAGACCGCATCCGATTGAGAAGAAGAAGAGAGGGATAAGCAAGTAGAAAGATGGAGGAGAGAGGGAGGAGGAGAGGGAGGAAGTAGAAGGAAGGGGGAAGTGAAGAGATAAGAGGGGGATGCAGTTTGGGGGGAAATGGGTGAGCAATGCCGGAATTTGTGTGTTGTATTTTAACTTGTTATGTATCTGAATTTTTTTTCTTATGATTGTAATGAAAATAAAATAATAATTTTTTTTTTAAAAAAAAAACGAGGACAAGGAAGAATTGCCCCTGAAAGGGTCCAGCGTAATCTATATGTACCCTTGACCAAGGGGCTTGTGTCTCCTCCCACCTGTGTACTGGGGCCTGAGGCATTTCAGGCCACAACTGTTGGCAGACTTGGCACCCGTGAACCTGGGCCTCGATGTCTTTATCGAGCCCAGGCCACCAGAGATGGCTGCATGCAAGCGCTTTCATCCGGACTATACCCGGATGTCCCTCATGCAGATCAAGATCAAGACTCTAACCCTCAATGAGGCTGGGATGACTACCCTGCTACCCCATAACAGGCACCCTTTGAATGTGGAAAGCTCGTGCTTCCTTTGCCAGAAGGTTTGAAACTCAGTACCTGGACACGTGTCAGGCCATCCTGACAACACCCATGTCAGCATGCGTGTAAGCGTGTGATCAGTGGCACTTTCTGCAGCCACGTCCCTAGCATTGAGGGGAGATTCAGGCAATTCCTGAATAGAGAGAATGTTAATAGCAGGAGCAGGGTCTGCCTCTATCTGTTTTAGAGGTAATCTTCTGAGGCCATCTGCATGGCCCATCTCCTTCCCAGATTTATGAATCAAAGTGTAGTCATATGTTGACAGGAAAATTGACCATCTCAGCATTCTAGGAGATATTTTGTGAGGGGTTTGCTTGTTTGTGGTAAGCAAACCCAGCAGAGGCTTATGGTCTGTATAGACTGTGAAGTGGCAGCCATATAAGAAATCATGACATTTCTTTATGCCAGCCACTATGGCCAAGGCTTCTCTGTCAATCTGAGCGTAATTGCACTCTGCATTGACAAAGTCCTTGAATAATAGGCCACAGGGACTTGTGTCCTATCAGCCTTCAGGCGGCTAAGTACTGCTCCCACCCCATAAGGAGATGCATCACATGTGATACACACTGGCAATTGCTCATTGAAATGCGCTAAGACCACATTTGAAGAGAGCAAGGCCTTGACCTCATTGAAACTCCTTTCATGGACCTTTGTCCACTGCCATGGAGCCTGTTTATCCAAGAGCCGGTGTAACGGCTCAGCCACTGCAGCCTTGTGTGGAAGGAATGCATGATAAAAATTTAGGAGTCCCAGAAAAGCCTGAAGTTCGCTTTTGGACTTGGGACTTGGGGCCTGCTGAATTGCTTGGAGCCTGGATTCAGCAAGGTGGATGCCTTGAGCATCAATTCTGAAGCCTAAGAATTCAGTGGAAGTGACTCCAATTTTACATTTATCTTGCTTCAGTTTCAGACCCACTTGGCGGAAACGAAGCAAGACAGCCCTTAATCTTTCAGCTAAGGTTAGAGATGACTCTCCAGCAATAAGGACATCATCGAAGTAGGGACAGATCCCAGGAATACCACGGAGTGTGCGCTCCATTACACTTTGGAATATGCCAGGGGCTACGTTAACCCCAAACTGCAGTCTTTTGACCTTAAAGGCTCCCTGGTGCATTACGATTGTTTGAGCCTCAGCTGTTGCCTCATAAACAGGTAACTGTTGGTAGGCCTGTGCCAAATCAAATTTTGCAAAAATTTGCCCCCCCCCCTTGAGGGAGGCCAGAATGTGGCTAACCACAGGCACTGGATATGCATGCTGTTGCAGCACTTTATTCAGTGTACATTTATAGTCCACACAAATTTGGACTTCTCCATTAGCCTTTAGAGGCATTACAATGGGGGTTTTCCATGGACTAGAGTCCACAGGTTCTAAGATGCCCTGCTGGAGCAGCTTGTCCAGCTCTGCATTGATTTTGCTTTTGAGAGCGAAAGGCACCCTTCTAGGCTTAATCCTAATTGGTGTGATAATTGGGTCTAAGCCTAAAGCAATGGGAGGCCCCTTGTATGAACCAAGCTCTGTGCTAAACACATCAGCAAACTCCTTGCAGACTTCTGCAATGCCTAATGTTTGCAGGCTGTGAAGCCCAGTCACTTGGATTCCAAGGGCCTCGAACCAATTGAGTCCAATGAGACTTGTGCGATCACCCCTAACTACCACCACATCTAGTAGGCCTTCAAAAGCCCTACACTGCACCTTGAGCGTAGCCTCCCCCTTCACGCTGACTCTGGAATTCTGGAAGTCAGTGAGAATTAAGTTCGATGGCCTGAGTTTTACTCGAAGGCCACTACTGCTGCAAATCCTTTTGAAGGTGTCATGAGAAATAATCGATAGAACGGACCCTGTGTCCAACTCCATTGACAAAGGAACCCCCTGCAACTTCACGTCAATGTGAAGCTTTTTTTAAAGTGGCTTATGTGTTCCTGTCCTTAAAATGCTCCTGCGCAACGTGCAAAAACCCACCCTGTGTTGGCTGGGGACCCTGGTACCTTTCTGAAGTAATTCTTCCCTAGGCTGGACCTTCTGGCGACCCAAACAGATGGAGGCAAGGTGGCCTTGCCTGCCACATGCCCGGCAAATGGTGGAGCGGAATCTGCAATCAGTGCGCTTGTGGCATCCTCCACACCCGAAACACTGAGGAGATGCTGGGGCCTGGTGTGGATGCTCCTTCAGCCTGCTCTCCGCTGACTGGTGCAGCCTGCCCACCTCCTCTTCAGGATCCTGGTCTGGATCTTCTTGAGCGCCCTCTTGAGGGACAATAACGGCGGCTGGAGGATTTCTGGCAAGCCACAAGGCCTTCACAGCGCCGCCCACTGCTTCTTCAGCTGCAACCTCTCTTAAGGCATCTTGGAATGACACATCTTCCTTGGCGAAGATCTGCTGCAGCTCACGACTTCTTAGGCCACAGACGAAAGTCCCGCAGCCTCTCTTCCAAATCCTTGAATTCACAAGGCCTCGCTGCTTGCCTTAAGGTAGCAATAAAGTCCGCAGCAGACTCACCAGGCCTCTGGTCCCTCTGCTCGAATGCATGTCACCAAGCAATCATTGAAAGTTTAGGTTGGAAATATTCTTTCAGCATCTTCTTTAAATCTCCATAAGACACTGACTCCAAAAGTGTTGGGGCCACCAGATTCTCTGCTATGTCAAATGTTTCCTGTCCACAGACACACAGCAGGGTAGCTGCTTTAAGGCTGTCTTCTCTTATCTGATTAACCCTGAAGTAATTCTCCACCTGCGCCACGTATGAATTCCAGCATTCTGGGTGGGTAATATCAAAATCTGACAAACAGCCTATTTTAAACATCGTAGCCTTCTGCAACCCTCGTTAACGCCTTCGCTGCAAACCTGTTATTTGGGAAGGGGTCCCTTGCCGAGCTCACCTCCAGCGATGCTATACTGGCAGGCAGAGTCGCGATGCTGGACGCCAAACTTCCCAGTACTTTCTTAGTGATTCCTCTCTTCTTCCGTTGTTAAATGTAGCTTACAGCGATCCCACCTTTGTCACCACTGTTAGATTCATGGGCCCAAGGCATTACCAGGAAACGACTCATGTAACAACACAGCTTCTTTATTGATCACTCCACACACTCAGCAACAGAAAAAATGGCACACAGGTCTTTTGTAGTGTCCATGTTCCTGACGTCAGCCAATGAAATCTAGGCTGTTTTTGCGCTGGAGACAGCCAGCCTGGTCCTGGGCAGCCTTGTGGGTTGTCCGGGACCCTTTGCAACATTTCTGAGCCTGCTGAAAGCTTCAGCAGGCTCAGGACATAACAGTTCTATAATCATTATTTTTTTTCAAACTAGTCCACCACCCCCAACAGTCTGATGAACTGGCCCCGCTTAAAAAGTTTGAGGACCCCTACTGTAGTTGAAAAAATAGGTGACCAGGGAACCTGCCCCACTTGTTCCAAGGCCGCTTTTGGCCAAGTTGCATTGCAGTGGCATTGGGCACAATACACAAAGCACCAAACAGACACATCACACCAAAACCTGCCATTTACCACCTCCTGCCCAATGCCGCTGCCATGAGACTGCAGAACAAGCCAGGTGGCAGTAAGAAAACAGTATACCAACTTCCCTCCCCATAAGCAACATTGAGGTGGCCACACCCATCCCAGCCTCACCCACCGTCTGCCATGACCCAGTGGCCACGCCCACCCAGCCCCCTACTATAAATAAATGGGATTTGGATTGCAGTTTGGACACTTGGTCTCTAAAAGGTTCACCATCACGGGGCTAGAGAGATCAGGTCATAAACACATGGGGAGGGGAGGGATTGAGGAAGTGCGTTTTAAACTACCTGACCTTTTAGGTGGCCAGAACTGTATCCTATACTTACCAACTCAAGTATATGCCTACTCATTTACTCATCAGGAAGTTTTATTAAGTGTGCAACAGAATATTGGAACCCTTTTATTCAGTACATGGTATTCTAGCCACCATACTAAGCGGGACTTAATCCCTTAACACTCAAGATCGGCGCCAACTGCTGCCAGCGTTCTTGCTGCTTTTGTAAACGAACAAAGGAAATCCAAAGCCTGCATCCAAACAATTCACATATTCGTGTTTTCTTCTTGCTTCGAAACGACTCTGGGAGGAAGAGGTTTTATGTTACCTTCCAACCCTTCGAAAATTTCTCCCGGAAAGTAACGCAGGTTCTGTCTATTCCTATCGATTTCCTCTTTCCGTCGCCTCGCGTGTTCAGCTCCACCTCCTTTAGCTTGATGGCACGGCATATATTGGGCTCTTGATAAAGGAAAGTGGCCAGCTACAAGGAGGAAATCTACGCGCTCCGGTCTCTTCGAGATTCGAGTATTTCTAGCTTAGTTAATCGCCAGCACCGTCTGAATCATCTGCGCTTGGGCTGCTGTTCCAATCCAAAGGCTTTTGTTCAGGCGCCACGAGCCAATCCCCCGTCAAGAGGTGGGCGGAGGCGGCTGAGCAGATGCCGGGGGGGGGGGCGTCGAGTGTGCGCCCAGAGAGCTGGTCTGCAGCCGCCGCCTCTCCAGTTGCCTCCGATCTCAAACTTCAAACATAGACCGAACCTCTGCAAAGGAGCATGTATGGCGGTTGGGAAAGGCGAGCGACGTAGTAAAGTCCAAGGCGCAATCCAGACTCGGATCTTGGACTTGCCATGAGTCATTGGTTCCTGCACCTTCGTAACCCGAGGTAAGCTTTCCAGAAAGGACAGTCGCTTTGCAAGATCCAAAGATTATTCATAGGGAGCTTCTTCTCAGCACGGAGATTCCACATGGAGCTATATACATGAGATGGGAGGAGAGCACGGATGTTCACGATTTCTTTCGCTCTTAACCAACACAACTCTGTCCTTTGCGCGCGATCCTTTAGCAGAGGGTCATGTCCTTATGATTTCATAATTAATCTTCCAACCCGATAAATCCTTTGCCTCCGGGCCTTCTAATAACGTGGCATTGCTTATTTTTGAAACCTGTATTTGCGTCTTAAAAAAAAGGGCTCACGCAGTGGCGGAGAATAATCAAATTAGATTCCAAAGAGTGGGGGAGTTGCTGAAGCGTGGCAGCAAACCTGAGGAGCAGGGGATTTCAGCATTCTTTTGAGAATGGTGTTCCAGGGTATCTCCCAGACATACAGAGTAGCAATGATATTCTACAGAATGTTGAGGCTCTGCAACTCCTCCACAGCATCACTTTTGTTCTAGAAACTTTGGAGTTCAGATGTACTTGGTGGTAGTAATTGCCCTGTTGGAATGGCCATCTCTCCCACATCTATTTTAATTTAATGATAAAGTCCCAAGAAAGGATATTTTGGAGATACGCATGGGATCAGAGAATGAGTCAAGGATGGTCACTGATAAGATGATCATAGTCTTTCCTATGATGTGATGAATTTGTATTTAGGTTACTGTTATTCTTTCTATATTTGCATTTATAAAGAATGAGAAAAAGGAATGGTGAAATATAATACTGAAAAGATGTCCATGAAGTGCAAGGAGTTTGAGGTATCACAATCAAGATGAACCAATAAATCAAAGAACAGAAATTCTTAATGAACCCAAAAAGAAAAAATGGATGATGAATTTATTGTATGTATTTAATTGAACTGCTGGAGATATGCACAATTACTGGAGTTTTATGTTGACATTCATACAATTTTACAATCAATATTGCACTGAAGTAAAAGAGGGGAAGGAGAGAGAAATGCTTGGTAAATACATAGGAAAAAAATCAGTCTGAAATTGTCTGCATCAGCTAGAATGGTAGATACAGTATAATTGCAACAACTGGAAAAATTGAAGTGTCAAAATTACATAGTGAGATCACTTCATAGTAGAACACCATAAGGAAGGAGAAGATACAATATGAGTGGAAAACCTATGTCACAGCAGATTAAACAAATGTAAAAAAACCTGACAAAAATTAGTAATGTAAGTTGTTAGATTTGTTCCTTGTTTATATATTCAGAAAAACCCACTGTATGTCCACATAAAACAAATATAAGGTAGGTGGCATTGTTTGCAACAAACTTCTGGATATGAAAGTAATTGTAATAAATTTACTTTTAATGAAATATGCTCAATTGCAGTCTAGGTTTTTGGTAGAGATGGAATGCTTCCTATACTGAGTAAGTAAGATTAGCATTTATCAGCAAATTCCTGATTGCACAGATTAACCATCTGCCCTTTATGTAAAAATTAACAAAGAAAAAAATAATACATTTTTCATTCATTTTTATCCAAGGCTAATAGAAATTTTGCATTTTGGAATGAATGAAACAATTGTGCTTTTTCTATTAATAACTGCAAATCATTGAATTTTATGGTACTAGCTGAAATTAATATTAGTATTTTGTTTTTTCTGGATCTTTCATTAGACTGAAAAAATGCTTTAAAAGGGATTAAAAACAATTATTATAAGTTATCAGATACCTCGGGGAAAGTGCAAGGGAATTCCCTCAAAAAAATTGCATAAAACACAGATACATTTAACTGTATACATTGATTAAGAATAGTTTGGTTATCTTAAATTAAAAAGGTGCAAAGACTTCTGGCCTAGAGGAAAGAAACAATTTAGATCACAAGCTTTAGTATCAATCTTTTATAGTAGCTCAGCAATCAGATTCCTGGGATTTTTGTCTTCTAGATGATTACCCTAAACTCAAATCTGTGTCATTGAGAAATAATTTTGAATACCTGAAATGTATTAGTTTCTCCTTTTTCTCCTTTTTTTTCTAACAATCTTTTCTTGTAAGATAATAAAAAAATTAATATTATCAATGTTTCTAGTTTTTACCAGCCTTTTCTGGAATGATTGACAGTTAAAGCAGAAATGCAATGCCTTTGACAACATTTTTATCTTTTCTACCACAATTGAAAATCTTTAGAAAATATTTTTATGAAAAATATATTACTCTTGTGTATACGTTATATGAAAACCAGTTTTTGGTTTTACCCTTTTTCTTGTATTATGAGAAAAATAAGACAAATGAGATGTTGCAGAAGAAACTACTGTTATTCAGGTTTCTACCAATTCCATTCTATTTCTTCTCCTGGATTTCAGTTTTTCAGATTCCCCTCCCCCCTTTCCTGAAAGGTATTTTCTACTCCTGTAAAAATCAAGTTTCACCTTAACCCATGTTACTCAGTTTAGTTGTAAGGCCACACTTGGAATACTGCATCCAGTTTTGGTCACTATGATGTAAAAAAGATGCTGAGACTCTAGAAAGAGTACAGAGAAGAGCAACAAAGATGATTAGGGGACTGGAGGCTAAAATATATAAGGAACGGTTGCTGGAATTGAGTATGTCTAGTTTAACGAAGAGAAGGATGAGGTGGGACATGATAGCAGTGTTCCAATATCTCAGGGGCTGCCACAAAGAAGAGGGAGTCAAGTTATTCTCCAAGGCGCCTGAAGGCAGGACAAGAAACAATGGATGGAAACTGATCAAGGAGAGAAGCAACTTAGAACTAAGGAGAAACTTCCTGACAGTTGGAACAATTAACCAATGGAACAACCTGCCTCCAGAAGCGGTGAATGCTCCAACACTGGAAGGTTTTTAAGAGGAGACTGGATAGCTGTTTGTCCGAAATGGTGTAGGGTTCCTGCCTGAGCAGGGGGTTGGACTCGATGACCTCCAAGGTCCCTTCCAATTTTATTATTATGGATCATCGCACAGTCAGCCAGATCTTCAGACTGGATTTGGCATTTTGTCTACCTATCGAGTCCTTACCCAGGACCTGGGATAGGCAGATGTGGATGTTTGATGGTATTACAGATATCATCGCAGGATGGAAGCAGTTCCTAGTAAGGCCGCCTTTTGCAATGGACTAATAACGAATTTGTCAATGCCAATGGTGTTCAAGTGGTGCTCCAGTTGTTTTGGGATTGCACCCAAGGAGCCTATTACTATTGCTACTACCCTTGCTTGCTTTTGCCACAGTCTTTCTATTTCTATTTGTAGGTCTTTGTATTTTGTTATCTTCTCCAGTTCTTCTATTATTATTATTATTATTATTATTATTATTATTATTATTATTGTTGTTGTTATTAAATTAAAGCACAATACAAAACAAAATTTGCATGTATTTAAAAGCTATTTCAGTACTAATTTCCTAGTAGTAAATACGTTGCTAACTATTTCTATCCATTACATAAATTTTGTCAAGGGTAGAGTGATAATACTTTCTTTTTCTAAAAAATAAAATTATCACCCCCTATTTATAATATTTCTAAATCTGATTTTTTTAAAAAGTGTCATTAGATGTTATTTATTTTATTGCACCAGTGTTTGCTGCATAAACATCTGTGTAATTACTGTACATGGTATACTAGTAAAAAGAGTTACCACATCCAGTGTAAGTTCTCCTATTTCTGTCCTCCACTGAATAGTAATTATGAAGTTTTTGTATATCTAATGCAATTTTTCTCAACCTTGGCAACTTTAAGACATGTGGACTTCAATTCCCAGAATTCCCCAGCCAGCTAGTTCACATGTCTTAAATTTGCCAAGATTGAGAATCACTGCTCTGATACAAGGGATAAATGAATGAATGAATCAGAGTCAGGGCATTGAATATCTGATGGAAGGAACATTGGAGACTAATTCCCTGTTTCCTGGAAAGAACAGTTGCCAACAATGTCGGGGTTTTTGACTAGAGATAGAGTTGGATAAGCTGTTGACAGATCATTCATGTAAGATGTATATACAAATATAATAGTGGTTCTTGAGGATCCTATAACCTTCTAAGCAGCAACAGAAAGCTGCCGGGGAATTGTCAAGATCACTTCTTGACCTCTGCTATAAGCAGTGATCCCATACGTTCCTGTCAAAAGATGGGTATAGAAAAATCTTAGAAAACCATTCTCCACTGTTTACAACATTTACAAATATTAAGTAAAGAACTAGTTGCCATAAAGACAATTTCAGTCCATTCTTTAGAAAGAATTTCAAAGAGTTCCTGATTGCCTTTTACTTTTTATCTTGTAACTGAGTGTACATATTTACTCAGCTATACCAGTCAATGGAAAGAAATCCTTTACGTTCAGTACTAAAGAAAGTTAATTGTTATGAAAGGGGAAGTCATTTATTCATATATTCTTTTTGTCCCTTCTTTCTTTCCTGGATTTTTTTTCTTCATATTTTCTCAATCCTTTTTAGTTTGCATCTTTTAATTGTAATGGTCAATCAAATTATTATTAAAAACACTTAGATTTGTTAGAATGAGACTGATTGAGGTCTTCCAATGTGTTTCATGAGGATTAGATTCCTGTTCTCTTGGATTCTAATTAACACACTGGCCACTTTACCAAACTAATGTACATAACCCTCCCATTTTCCCACAAGCATACAGGTCACAAGTCTATGATCATAGTGTGCCTCCTGCAGTTAACAGAACTTGTTTGTGATTTAAGTTCATCTCTCACATTATAGTACTCTTGCAATCATTACACTACATTTGGCAGCAACATTGTCCAAACTCTAATCCCTAATCTTGTGGGATCATTTTTAATAATTTATCACTTTCTCTTAAATATAACAAATGATCTTCCCATATTGTGTCCTTTATCTATAAACAAATCTTTAAAGAATCATTGTTTGATCCTGGTCAGCAGAAGTCTATTAAGGATTAACAGAAATAACAACGTATCTACATTACCCTTAATAAAAAAAGTTCATATTCATTCACTTTA